TGATAAAGCTGTCTTGGAAAGTATCCCTCCTTCAGAACGTGCTAATGATATAAAAGAACCTGATCTTTCATTTGACGATTCCTTGACCGAGCGAACACTGGGAATTCAGTGGAATGTGGAACTTGACTGTTTTAAGTTTGATGTTTGTCTCAAGGAGCAGCCAGCAACTCGACGTGGAATCTTGTCTACGATTGCATCATTGTATGACCCATTAGGTTTTTTAGCTCCATTCATCCTTCGTGGAAAGAAGATGCTTCAGGAAGTATGTAGAAAGGGTGCAGGTTGGGATGACACACTGAGTTACGAGTTGCAGCCAAGGTGGGAGTGCTGGAAAAGGGATCTGAACAACTTGAAGAAAGTTACCCTTCTCCGCACATATGTTCCTTCTGCGTTTGGAAGGGTAAAAGAAGTGGAGCTGCATCATTTTTCGGATGCTAGTTCTAGTGGGTACGGGCAGTGCTCATATCTGAGATTAAAAAATGAAAGAGAAGATGTTCATGTTGCCCTTGCAATGGCAAAGTCTCGTGTGTCCCCGATAAAGATTACAACTATTCCGAGGTTGGAGTTAACAGCTGCAGTTGTTTCAGTAAGTGTCAGTAGAATCCTTAAAGAAGAGCTTCGATATACTGACATTACCGAATTTTTCTGGACCGACTCTAAGGTTGTTCTGGAATACATCAATAATGAGGCCAGACGATTCCACACGTTTGTTGCTAACAGAGTACAAAAGATTCATTTAAGCACTGTGCCGCAGCAATGGAGATATGTTCCAACAAAAGACAATCCTGCGGATCATGCCTCAAGAGGTCTCACCGTGGATGAACTGATCTCGTCTAACTGGTTCACGGGGCCAGGGTTCTTGTGGAATAAGGAAATTGCCCTCCCATCTAGTGAAGTTCCAGAATTACAACTAAGTGACTCTGAAGTCAGAAGTTTTCAAACATTTAACACAAAGGCAGTGGAGCAGGGAACTATTGTAAATCGCCTGTGCAAGTTTTCATCTTGGTCTCATGTGGTCAGAGCAATTGCACGCATTCAATGACGAATTAACAAGGATAAATCAAGCAGTCTTTCTACAGTTGAGGAGAGAGAAAGTGCAGAGTGCCTAATAGTCAAACTTCTACAAAACCATGTGTTTCACACCGAACTGAAAGTGTTAAGTAAAGGTGCCCAGTTGTCATCTCACAATGAATTGTACAGCCTTGACCCATTTCTTGACAGTGACGGTGTGCTTAAGGTGGGAGGACGACTTGGTAACTCTTCTCTTTGCCATTCACTTAAACATCCCGTAATTATTCCCAAAAAACATCATAATACAAGGTTGATCACAGCTGATTGCCATGAAAGAGTTAAGCATCAAGGTAAAGGGTTTACCATCAATGAAATCCGTTCAAAGGGTTTTTGGATCCCTGTCATTAATCGTGCTGTAGCATCTTATGTGTGTAATTGTGTCACCTGTAGAAAACATAGGCGACCAATGGAAGAGCAAAGGATGGCTGACTTGCCTTCAGAGAGAGTGAATCCCTCGCCCCCGTTCACTTACTGTGGTATGGACTGTTTCGGTCCATTTTCTGTGAAACAAGGACGAAAGGTGTATAAAAGATATGGATTGATCTTTACCTGTCTTTCTTCCCGTGCCATTCACATTGAGATGCTTGATTCTTTGTTAACAGATTCTTTCATTAATGGCTTACGTTGCTTTATTGCCATACGTGGAGCAGTTCGGCAGATTAAATCTGATCAAGGAAGTAACTTTGTGGGTGCAAAGAATGAGTTAACTAAAGCCCTCAAGGAACTTGACATTGAAAAGCTGAATTATTTCTTGGCTGAGAATCAGTGTGACTTTGTCTTGAACGCACCAGGTGCAAGTCATACAGGAGGTGTATGGGAACGACAGATTAGGACTGTTAGAAGTGTTCTTCAGTCTACACTTTTGATGGCTTCAGAACGAATTGATAATTCCTCTCTAAGAGCATTCTTTTATGAAGCAATGTCAATTGTAAACAGTCGTCCACTCACTGTCGACAATTTAAGTGATCCAAATAGTCTTGAACCAATAACGCCAAATCATTTTCTTACAATTAAATCCACTATTGCTTTACCCCCTCCAGGCAAGTTCACTAGAGAAGATCTATATGTCAGGAAAAGATGGCGCCATGTCCAATATCTTGCTGAACAATTTTGGAGTCGCTGGCGCAAAGAATATCTTTCCAATATTGCTGTTAGACAGCGCTGGCATACCCCTAGGAGAAATCTGTTAGTAGGGGATATAGTGATTGTCAAGGACAATGATCTAGGTAGGGTTGTAGAAACTACCATAGATTCAGATGGGCTTGTGAGGAGAGTTCGGGTTCATCTTGGTGATACAAATTTGGGGGGGAATCTGGAGAGTCTTAGTAAGCTTTCCGTAATTGAACGTCCAGTCCAGAAGTTGGTTTTACTTTTGGAGGCTTGTTAATTCTCTTTTTTTGTTTGTTTTTTCCTTGTTTTCTTAACTATGTATTTTTATATGTATTGTATTGTGGTATTTTTGAAATCATTCGTGTATTGTGACTCATGATTTGGTGGGAGTGTAAAGGACTCAACCCTCTACATTGCGAGTAAATCACTCGCATATGCGACTAAATCTTACTCTGGGTGACTAAATTATGTCTAATATTAGCCACCACTATTGCTTTACCCCCTCCAGGGAAGTTCACTAGATATCTATATGCCAGGAAAAGGCGCCATGTCCAATATCTTGCTGAACAATTTTGGAGTAGCTGGCGCAAAGAATATCTTTCTAATATTGCTGTTAGACAGTGCTGGCATACCCCTAGGAGAAATCCGTTAGTAGGGGATATAGTGATCATCAAGGACAATGATCTACCCAGGCATAAATGGTCTTTAGGTAGGGTTGTAGAAACTACCATAGATTCAGATGGGCTTGTGAGGAGAGTTCGGGTTCATCTTGGTGATACAAATTTGGGGGGGAATCTGGAGAGTCTTAGTAAGCTTTCCGTAATTGAACGTCCAGTCCAGAAGTTGGTTTTACTTTTGGAGGCTTGTTAATTCTCTTTTTTTGTTTGTTTTTTCCTTGTTTTCTTAACTATGTATTTTTATATGTATTGTATTGTGGTATTTTTGAAATCATTCGTGTATTGTGACTCATGATTTGGTGGGAGTGTAAAGGACTGTCAATTTGTTAAACCGAATATATGAAGTCTGCATTGCGTTGCATTGACCCTTTTGTACGGAGCAGCTAAAGGACTTTTATTTTGAAATGAACAACGCGCAAATCGGACTGTATAAATCGTGACCCATTTCCGCCATTTGGGTGTGTGTGCACACTTTGTGAAGGACGCAGCCTGCAGTTTGTGGCGTGTTTCTCTTCCTTTTATTGTACTTGTGCATCTCACTGAAAAGGGTAATAAAGTAAATGATTTTGTACATTGTATGATGTGTAATGTAATGTCCGGTTTCGTATTTGGTTTATGTATTGTTTGTTTCTGTTTTTGTTTTGTGTGTTCGTAGTTCTTACAGTGTCTACTTGAATGTCAACAGATTAAACATTTTCGGAAACATCAGTTAAGGAGCATTGACCATCATTTCAGTGGGGTAGCAACAAGAACTTCCGAGTAAAGATAAGCCAGCTCGTAATCTTCCAGTACATATTAGTGATCCCAACTGTAACGTCACAGTCGGTGTTATGTTCTGATTCGCCTATTTTTCAGTGGTCTTTTGCATGCACGAGATTTACATAAGGAGGAGGAAACAATGGTGTTTGAGGCTCACGGTATGTCATTTCCATGTACAGAACTGTTATTATTCAACTATGCCCAGGTAAATACAGTTTTCCATTCAATGGCACCTTTAAGTTCCCATTTCAAAATGTACATAAATAGATGAAGTATGTATTTAGGGCTGGGTGATATGGCTAAAAATATTATCACAATATATATTTTTTTTCCATACAATATCTATATTTATTCACAAAATTCAGAGTAAGATACCTTTTAATTTAGGGCCCCATGAAATCCATTATATTTTCCCCTTAATCCTTTTCTACATTTTATTTTGTCAAGTTTCTGTGTTATAAGATTCAATACAAATTTATCATAAAAAATGGTGTCTAATGAAATGAATTAATAAAACGTCAACAATTATTTTATTATAAACAAAAGAAATTAATTTACAACAAAACATTGCATTTTCACTGTCAAGCAAGATGCTGCACAACAGAACTGTATAAATTAATAAAAAAAATACCTTGGTTGTATGAGATTCCTAAAAAATATTATTACTGTTACTTTAAGAATTATATTTTAGTATACACTAGTAATATATTTGTCATAAATTATTCAAGTTTAACAGGACTTTTATTTTGACAGGTTTTTGTGAAGATCTTTCAGTGTGTATTTGATGGTAGTCTCTCAAATGAAACGGTGTAAAGCTGGGAAGTGACCCTCAGAGCAGCTCTGGAGAGTTCATGTGTTCATGTCCTCAAATACTGAGTCGCAGGCACTGTGTGATAGACTGTTCGAAATATCCATATCACATAAAAATGTCTAGAGCTTATTTTCGTTAGACATAAATTTAATCACAATCTCGCTATGATATTGTTTATCGCCAAGCCCCAGTTGTTTCAAAAGTGCTACATAAAGGTTGACTTCACTTTTCCAGTTATTAGTGATAACTGGTTTAACCTTTTCAAAAGGCTATTTTTAGAGATCACACTGACAAACAGTAATTTGCCCAACTTTAGAACCGTCCATTACTAGAAATTCGTCTTAATTCTTATTCATATTAATTTCTTACTCTTATTCAATTCAGGCCTGGAAATCACACTTTTGAAATCACCTGATGTTTCCAAGTTTTCCAGTACTTTGGGAACCCAGTTACATTGAAATTAAGGTTGTTTTTGCTGTGTATGCATCCTGTGTGCTCAACAACAATATTTTTATATTACTATTTACATGATATGTACTGTATTATGGGGCATAGGATCTTACGGGACAGACCTTGCTCTTCTTTAGTTCTCCAGTGCTTCTGCTGCTTTCATCATTATCCATATCTTCTCCTTCATCCTCCTCCTCCTCCTCATCAACATCCTCTTCATCATCTTCC